TGATAAAGAAGGTGTAAATTATATATATATATATATATATATATATATATATATTATATATATATATATATGGTTCACTTTTTCTACGGTCAATATAGATAACTTATCTACTTTGAGCCCAAAACAACGTCGTTTTGAGACAAAAATCAAGGTATTTTTATAATTATAATTTTTTCAGGGTTATAATAGTATTTTTCATTATAATTTTTTAATTTTTCAATAAAAACCGACGTCGTTTTAGCAGCGAATGTAGATAACTTATCTACATTCATTTTAGAAATATTAAAGCTATATATATATATATATGGCTTATCATTTCTGTAGCCGCCGTAGATAACACTCTTTACATCTGACATAGAAAAGTGGGCCCCACGACGTTCTAAAAAAAATCAAGAATCCAGTGCCATATCTTAGGATCCGCACGCGAATCCTGGCTAGCTGTAGGTACATCAGCTGCAGAAATTATTTTGCCAAATATATATATATATATATATATATATATATATATATATATATATATATATATATATGTTTGTGTGTGCATTCACTACGTGTGCACGTTATTTGTTATATTTTGTACATGAAAATTTTCAATGACCTCAAATATGCATTTATAATTTTATTTCTTGGAAAGATTCTACTTCACCTTAAAAGTTTATCACTTATCATGTATAATTGATCATTACTTTATGTAAAAATAAGTAGTTATTTTTTAAGAATGTGATGTTTGAGTGACACAAAAAGTGAAAATGATCAATTAAAGCAGGGAAAAGATAAGAAGAATGTTCACTAAAAGATTGTGAAGGTTGCCAACAACAAATAAAAAGCTCATGAAAATATTATTTCATGTGTTGTTATGAACATTATTTAAGGATCATTGTGATCTTGTTAAAAAAATTGTTTGAGAATTTTTAATGAAATTTTCATGTGATTTTTATCAACATTATTTCATGTGTTGTTAATGAAAATATTATTTCATGTGTTGTTAATGAGAATATTATTTTATGTGATCTTTGTGAATAAGAAATTTTATCTTTTATATTTGAATTTTGTTTGGGCCTATAAACTTTAGTTTGCAACTTGGTAGGTCCGTGTTAGACTTTTAAGTTTTTTTATAATAGGCTAGGTCAGACTTATGAATTAAGTCTTTAAGAGACTAATAGGTCAGTACAGACTCTAAATATTTTACATAGACTTCGACTATACACCAACAAAGTCCAGCACAGTTGGTAGATAGCTGGATTCCTTAAGCATGCTGACAGAGGTTCGATCCCTGGCCGTGTGTATGGAAAAGACTTTGTTGGGAGAGGTTTATCCATTTAATGTGATCTCCCGCCTCGAAAGGATTAGTGTCTGGCTGGAAGATACCTTGGGAAACCAAAAAAAAAAAAAAAAAAAAAACTAAGTATTACCCATTTACAATATTTGAGTTGTTCATAAAACTTAGTCAGTTTGACATATCTGTTTCGTAACAAAGTGGAGGAAACCATTTTATTTTTATTAGTATGGACAATTATTTAGACTCAATCCATGAATACTATAATGAAATATGAAATGTGAAGAAAATGATAATGATGTTTTCATGCACTGTTTATTCGGCTAGGCTCACATATTTCATTGGGTTATTTGAGTTGTTCATGAAGCTCAGTCAATTTTGACTATTCTTTTTCGTGAAAAAGTTGAAGAAACCCATCCAAATTCCTTAGACTAGCTTGGGCCATTTTATCAGTTTGGACATCTTTTTCCCAAACCTCAATCAACGGCCCAGTCCATGAATACTTATAATGAAATATATAAAGTATTAAAAATAATAATGACATATATTATAAGTACTCATTCCGCGGATCTTTTTTTTAACTTCATTTCATTTCTTTTTTCTTTTTTGGTAAATTTTTAACTTCGTTTCTTCTTATAAAGAGAAGTTTAACTAAGTGTATTTTAATAAAAGTTGTTATCATAAAATGAATTTTTTTTATAATTATTAAAATAAGAAAAAACTATGAATTTTTTTAAAATTTACTCCAACTTTTTTGAGTCTTCATATTTTTTTTCTTCAATTATGTTACTAATCTAAAATTATACTTACAAATTTTACTATATATTCTAATGATAAATAATGTGATCTCCTGCTCCCCTCAAAAATGTTAAAAAGGTCACAAAAAAATAAATAAATTATTTTATTAATTCTTAAATCTTTTTTTCCTTTAAAATTATTGTCTTTTATTTCTTATTATATTTGTGTAGAGCTAGTGAAAGTTATTGTATTAATTAAATAACTTACTTTTAACTTGAATTTTAAAGTTAAATTTTTTATATAATCACAAACAGCTTCTAATTTTAATTTTTAAATTTTTTTTTTAATTTTAACTAAAAAATAAATTTTAAATTAAAAAATGGCCTCAAACATACCCTAATTCAACCTTGGCTTGGCTATGCATTTGGTTCAAAGGAACCAACCCGACTGATAGATCTAGTTGTTAGTATGAAAAACCACTGACAAGTGACTAGATTGTGTTTTTATTGTTAACATGTTATCAAGTAAGATTTTGGTCTGCCACTCCAATCTTAATTTTCTATATATAATAAGGGAAAATTATTCTCCTAATAAAAGAGAGTTATCTTATGTTATAGATACATTGATAAACGTGTTTTTTTAACACATGGTGGGATCCACCATGTGTTGTGTCTATGATATGAGAGAAGTATCTCCTACAACATGAGATTAGATGCTCCCTATAATAAAAGGATTAATGTTTTTCATATTAAGAGATAATTTTATTTCTTACATACGTATAAAAGTACGTGGGTTCCATATGGGATTATGTGAAAGAAAAGAGAGAGAAAAAAAAGGGTCACACACACTTTTATGTGTGTAGGAAATAAATTTATTTCCTATAATATGAAAAACACTAATCTCATAATAAAAATTAACAATTATGTGATCAAACAATTTCATTGAACTCTCAAAGACTTAGTTTTCAATAAATCAAAAAACCCTTATTTGCAGCTGTTAAGGGTTGATGCATGACCAGTAGCTGCATAAAATATATTAAAGTAATTTATAAATTGTTTCTAATATATATATACAACATAACAACACAAATGGCAATTAGTTTATGGAGCCACATGGTGAAATCTCAGCTTCAAATGGCAAAATTGAGTCATGGAGAAGTTGGAAATGCACGAGAGAACCGCTCATTAATAGAACAAAACAAAAGAAAGAAAGAAATCAACCTCAGTTGTGTGGGGACAACAACGCACGCATTTTGGTTCAAAAAAGTTAGGTTAATATCAAACAGAACCGTTCACTCGGTTCTTTCCTTTTAGAGATATATAGATATTATATTATGGCTATTATTGGTTGTATTTCCGTTTTCCCGTGAAGCTCAAGGAGTCAAGAGCTACTTTGGAGTTTGGACTATGCTGCAATGCCATCATCACTATGTCATTGTAGCTGGCAGCTGCACTCTTTAATGCCATTGAAACTCTCAACCAGGCCAAGGTGGAATTGTCTGAACTATTTCCTTGCTTTGTGAAAAGAAATGTGAGTCTGTAACAGCCGCGATCAATTAGAGTTATGTCAACTAGGGAGAGGTAGTGCAAACTGGAATTCACAAAGCTTAAGCAGTAATTGAGCATTTATGTTAAAAAGTGCATGAGCTTCCCGTTTGTTGAACTTACTCAAGTTTTGCATTGTACCTTTTCGTACTTAACCTTCGTAGGTGCAACTATTAGCTTAACTAAAATAATATATATATGAGGTAGGATCCTTTGACACTGGTGTCAAATTTGAAGTTTGACATCTCATCTGAGAGCCGTTAGATAAAAAAAGACCCTAAACCCTAAACTTCAAATTTGACACCGATGTCAAAGGATCCTACCTCTATATATATATATATATATATATATATATATATATATGAGTCAGGTTATATTTACAAACTTTTTTGTTTACAAACTCTTACAAACTACGTTATGTAGGACCGGTCTTACATTAATCATACAATGTACGACCGGTTCTACATTAGTGTAATTGCAAAAAAAGTTTGTAAACGGATCTTGTCCATATATATATATATATATATATATATATATATATTGATATAATCTGGAAGGTATTCTTATTCAACCTTTTTCGGTCACTTTATCCTCGGAGTACGGCCCGAAGGCTATCCCTTATTAGAATACGGGTGCGTTGAGCTTCACTACCGAAGGAAGGATGAGACTAATCCCCCCTTCGAGAAGAGAACATGTCCTCTGGCCCCCAAAATTTTTCCAAGAATTTGCTTGAGACAGGGTTTAAACCCCTGACCTAAGCAAATCCTTGAAAGCTTAGTTACCAACTTTGAAGAACTCTTCAATTTCTTTTTCATACATGAGGAATAATAAAAACGAATGGGGCGAACATATGTTACGATATAGTTTATGATATTTATTAAAGAAATATATTATAAAAATTATTAATGTGTTACCATGCATAGGTAAGAGAGGCCTAAGCATTGCCCATCATTCAAGTCCAATAAACTGAGCTCTTTACGAAAAGGTATGTTAAAGAATTATAATATAAAAATCATTAGTGTAGTGTCATTTCTGTTGGGTTGAAATGTTTCTTTATCATATTCAACAAATTTAAATATTTTAAATATCTATTTAACTGTTATGGATGGGAAAATTATAAGCATTATTCTTTGCCGATTTTCAATGGTTTACATGTTTCCCTCCTAGAGTCCTATTATTGTTCTCCATAAAAGTGGACTGAAAACATAATCACCAAGATGACATGGAATTATTCACCACAAAAAATAGGACTGGTGTAATTAGAGTTCTACTCTTTGCTGACTTCTCATTTAAGACTTGAGAAAGCTATTCCCTCTAAAGCCTTGTTACTTTCACGGAATGCATGTGAAGGTGGAAATAACATGGCCAGCTTCTACCTATCCCAGACCATATAAAGTTCACACTTGCTCCTTTGACAAAATTGGGTTTCTCGTATCATACGTCTAGACTCCCCAGTATCCCAATAAAATATATGTTCCTTTCCTTATTTTAAGAAAAAAAAAAATTTCCTCTATTATGGCTACTTGCTCTTGGGCTGAAATATTAAACACCATCTGAGAAGCCTCTTGTGTTGTGCTTGGATTACCATCGTCTTTAATTACCACCTGCTTCCATTAGTCTCAATCTGATTCTACACGTTAATTAATTAAGAAATGTTACCTTAAGTTCATGCTGGCTAGGAAATCATGGCAATGGCTGAGAATGAGAATGGCAGAATGGATGTGAACTGGAAGAAACGTTTACATGTTTTTGGTGAGAAGGTGAGGAGATATCCTAGTTTGGCTTGGCAGACTACGTGGAAGGTGGGACGTGAAGACCCAAGAAGGGTGATCCATGCATTCAAAGTGGGTTTGTCTCTGACTTTGGTTTCTTTGCTGTATCTGTTGGAGCCATGCTACAATGGATTTGGGCAGAGTGCAATTTGGGCTGTCATGACAGTGGTGGTTGTGCTTGAGTTCACAGCAGGCAAGTTTCTCTTAAATCTACGTTCATTCCTTCTGTTTGGTGCTATAATATATATATGTATGTGTGTGTGTGTGTGTCCCCTTCCTGCATGTGTTTGATGACCTTAACTTTTTCCAACTTTCTTTTGGTTTGCAGGGGCAACTTTATGCAAAGGGCTCAACAGAGGATTGGGGACACTGTTAGCTGGACTATTGGCACTTCTTATTGGGTTTATTGCAAATGCATGTGGTCGGGTCCTTCAAGCTGTTCTCATTGGAGCTGCCGTTTTTCTTATAGGTATATAAATATGCTGCTTTACAAGCTCAAAAGAAATCAAGCAAAAAAATTAAGACTTAAATTGCACTTTTAATGATTCTAACAATGTTAACGTTGTGAATTTTGATTAACTCAATTTGTTTTTTAGCTTTCAAATTTATATTACCATAATCCATTCTACAGAGAGAACAAATGGTTAGCATGCAAGGACCTTTTATAGTAGTGACAACGGATAAGCAAGCTTGTGATGACTAAACGTTACTCCTAACTAAATCTATGCTTTCATGTGGTTTTCTTCTTGCAGGAACTGTAGCTTCTTATATGAGGTTTGTTCCCTATATAAAGAAGAACTATGACTATGGTCTAGTTATATTTCTTTTGACTTTCAACCTCATTACTGTGTCGAGCTACCGAGTTGACAATGTCTTGAAGATTGCACATGACCGCATCTACACCATTGCCATAGGATGTGCCATTTGCCTTCTGATGAGTCTACTAATATTTCCAAATTGGTCAGGAGAAGACCTCCACAATTCCACGGTTTTCAAGCTTGAAGGCCTTGCCAAATCTATTGAAGGTAAGCAACCTCATAATACATATAATAATAGTATCACGAAATTCTAGTACTTAATATTCATATTTCATATTCCATATTTTCTTTTCTGAACTTGCAAAATAATCATACCTTTTGAAACTTACATGTGTGAATATAAATTAACACTTAGTCAAGGTAAAATCTTGCAGCTTGTGTCAATGAATACTTTTATGGAGAAGTTGAAGCTTCTGGAGATATCAAATTGTCCGAGGATCCCATATACAAAGGTTACAAGGCTGTTTTGGATTCAAAATCCACTGATGAAATGCTGGTAACCCCATCCATCATCTCTTGGTTCATTTTAATACAACCTTTTGGAATTCAATGAAGCAATGAAAACTGATCTTCTAATGCTTCTATTTTGAATTGGACAGGCATTACATGCAAGCTGGGAACCGAGGCATTCGAGGTACTGTCACAGATTTCCATGGCAGCAGTATGTAAAAGTTGGAGCTGTTCTTCGTCAATTTGGGTATACTGTGGTAGCCCTACATGGCTGTTTGAGAACAGAAATTCAGGTAACACTTTTGAGTAATTTTATTCTGATAGATAATGATCAATTTGGATCATTTGGCCTCAACAACAATTGGATTATCTATAATGTAAAACATTTAAAATGCAATTGGATGCTTTAATCCCACTAATACTGTTATTTACACATTTTTTCTTTGATTTGAAAATTTATTTTAGACACCACGATCTGTTAGAGCCCTGTTCAAGGACCCCTGTATAAGGCTAGCAGCAGAGGTATCCAAAGTACTGATAGAACTTTCCAACAGCATAAGGAATCGCCGCCATTGCTCTCCGGAAATACTCTCAGACCATCTTCATGAAGCCCTTAAGGACCTCAACACTGCCATAAAATCTCAACCTCGCCTCTTCTTAGGCTCCAAGCACAAACAAAACCATACTAGCAACATGCTTAAAATAGCTGCAGCACAGGTTGGAAATGAAAGGCATGGAAAGACCTCTGGAGTCTCTCTATCAAGCGTTAAAACTGACTCTTCAGCTTTGCTAGAATGGAAATCCAAAAGGGTTTCCACTGAACAGTCAAAGGAAACAGAAAGAAAGTCTTTAAGACCCCAATTGAGTAAAATTGCAATCACTAGCCTTGAGTTCTCTGAGGCCCTTCCTTTTGCTGCTTTTGCATCTTTGCTTGTGGAAACAGTGGCCAAACTGGACCTTGTCATAGAGGAAATTGAAGAACTGGGGAGATTAGCATGCTTCAAAGAGTTCAGACCTGGTGATGAGATTGTTGTGACTTGTGAGGGGCCCCGAGTTGATGTGTTACAGAATCATTTACCTTCTCATGGAGTAGACTAATTAAGAGACAGATAGCCCTTAGAAATTGCATTATTTCATGGATATCGATGATCTGTTATTTGATGAATTATGGTGATGAATATTAAAAGATATATTTATGTTTTAAATTTTTGATCTACTTTTAATACTTAGTAGGAATATTTCTCAGGATAATGATATATTTCCGGTTATAAAATGCATATATACATTAGCTGTCAGACTGTGTGATGGAATGACACTAACTATGGAAACAAAGATGCCCCACAGTTATAATCCTACAGATTATAGAAAACCCTTCCTTTCAAGGTTTGTTCTCTAATATGCGCCTAGAGGCACAAAATTTGGCAACTTACATTACAGCAAGTATAGATTGGGATTGTCTTATGATGGTGGGCAAGAGTCACATTTGGGGGAATGAGTACACGTTACAAAGGAAGAAGTTGATTTCTTTTGCGGTCTTAAATGGCAAGCTTATACTAGAACTGCATAAGGGGTAAGGAATACTACCCTTTTGACTTTCATGACCGCTGTCAGTGTCTGTAATATTTTGTGCATGAAGAACCAATACTATTTAGGCCATTTTCTCATCTTCCAGTAGAAAGATTCACACAGAGAAATATAAAATACCAGTTTCTATAAATTAACTTCCATTGAGGATGCTTTTCACTCATTTCGTTTTCAACACCGCAAGTGGAGCATAATGGTCGAAGGAATTTTTCCTCGACAACCACATAAAAGCAATTGTTTAGTGAGGGAAAAGCCACTTATATACTTTAGAATGGAGTCAGTGGATGGTAGGTGCTAAGATTGTAGTATGGGATAGTTTTTGCATTTATATGAGTTTTGGAATTATTAGTCACTAGGCGTACGAGTCTCTTGGCGTAACATTCAGTTAAACTTACATCAGCTCAGCCTATCACATACAGTCAAATAAAATAGATTCAGACTTCAAAAAAAATCTATTTAAAAAGTAAGTTATAAACTTTTTTTTATATATTTGACCTATAATCTTACAGGTCCACCCATGGTAGTTAAAATCTGGATTTAAATCTTAAAATCCCGATTTTAACGATTTATTTTTGCTAAAACGATTTAGATTTCACTTAAAATCCTTTCCAATATAAAATCTCGATTTAGACATTTACTTAAGTCTCGATTTTAAGATTTAAATCCCAATTTTAACTATTGGAATGATGTTAAGCAAGTTAGAAAAATTGTTGAATATAACATTGCTGATGTTTCATCCGAAGATGAATGGATTGTGGAAAATGAAGGAACTTTATCTCATGATGAAAGTTTAGATGAAGACAATTTTGAATGATGTAGTTGAAGATCACGTGGAACAGAATGTCTTCGATGATAATAACTTGAATGATTTATTAGCTTAGACCCTTAGAGTGTGACAATTGTATGCAAATGTATAAGGATGGTGGCGGGTAGTCTATTTTTCTTAATTTTTTTATACTTAAGCATATTTATATAAAAATTTAATTTTAGAGTGCAGGTAAAATCTACGATTTGTATTACGATTTTACGATTTACGATTTTTTATTCCCTTTCCGATTTTAGGTAAAATCCCGATTTTGACTACCTTGGGTCCACCTATGTTATATTATTTATTTTAAATAAAATAAATAATATATTATTTTAATAATTTTGAATACTAACGTAATATTATTTTAATTATTAAATGACTAATAGGCTTAAATAAACTAACAGGTCTCTAAGTTAAGGCTTTTATTTTTTAATTATAAGTCAGAACAAATTTATAATTTGAGTCTATACAAAGCTAACAAACTAGGCCAGGTCTAAGGGATTTTAGATAGGCCTGACTTATTTAAGTCAAAATCTAACTCAACCCAACCTATTTACACCCATACCTTTAATAAAGCGTTGCTAAAACTCATAACTTAATGAGCCTTCTTTATAGAGATTCTTGCTAAGAGGGAGAAGAACTAGTGGGGAACAATTTGCAAATTTCGGAAGGTATCTTTTTCAGTTAGTAGCTTCCTGGAAACTCGTGGCCTTATCAAGGCGCAACTTCACAAGGCACTCATTAGTGTTTGAAACAACTAGTACTGGAAATTCATAATCTCTTTAAATTGTTAAACAGTTGACCATGTTTAAATTCATAATATCTTTCTTCTAGCTGTGTTCAGATTATAGTGGACGTTAAACTAGCCAAGTATTCTGAGAATATATGTGTTGTGTAATCAGGAGAGGGTATATGATGTAGAACTCTGCATCAGTGTATGCATGGTTATCATTGGCTAATTCTAATCCTAATGAGCTTATTTGGTGCAATATTAAATGAACAAAATTCTCATTTGATTCTCTCGTTTTCTTTCCACTTTCTTTCTTCTTCTTCTTTTTTTTTTTGGTAATAGTCCACTTTCTTTTTTGGTTTCCTTTCAATGAAGAAACATGTGACACCCTTTGTTTAAAGGTTAACTTTTCCCTGCTTGGGGAGGCTACAGTGAATTAAGGGGTAATTGCATATTTAGTTAAGTAGGGTCAACATGTAAAAGCAGAAGGTTTACTTCTGATTTCAAACTAAGGAGGAGTTCACAGAGCAAAAAATGAAACAACTATAGTAAAAAATATTGATATTTTGAACACAATCGTCTAATGTGTGCAGTCTTTAGATTCTTTACCTGCTATCTAATAACAACTCTATTTTCATCTATTTTTTGTTTGCTTGCGCTTTAGCCTTGCTTTTGTTTGCTTTTTCTTTTCTCGAAGCAACTGCATATTGGAATGTCTTATCAACTCTAAAAGTGAAATTCATCCATAGCTTTATTTTTAAATGGCGGCTCTTGTAACTGAAAGTAGAAACAGGAGTCCTACTTTGTTCAGTTGCATAATCTATCTCATGTTAGTTTTATCTTTATCTTGCAGCTTTTCAAAATTAACCATACCCTTTTTTTATGGGGGAAGAGGGGAGGGAATAATAAAGCTTCTTGAACCTGTAGTCTTTCAGCAATGAAAATTTGATATAAAGCAACATGGCCAAGAGAAACCATGTTTCAATATCCAACATTAGTTCAGGGACCCACATATAAGACAAGCATTTGAGAAAAAAAGCCTGGTTAAGTATGCAGCCTATATGTATTAAATAGAGTTAGGCTTAGGCGTGTTTTTGCACATATATATAAGGTAATATGTCACGAAAGCTCATATGAAAATAACTTCAGAAGCACTAGAAAGGGAACATGAACATGGAGGGTGAGGGGGTACAACATATATAAGAAGTCCTCCTCCATTACATAAGATGGATTTATAAAGCCACACATACAATGACTGAATGTAAACCAACTTCGGGTGAAATCGATAAAAGTGTTGTCACCCGGGCATCCTACATGACAGCATTAATGATAAACATAGTCAAGAGCACTTCCAAGCAGATAACAGTTTCCGCGTGGTGCATAAGAAGGTGATTTGATTGTACTCATTATTTCTCACTCCAAGACATACATTAAAAGGCGCAGTCTCAGAGATCCCTTTTAGACCCTCACACCAAAATCATTAAATAGTCTTCCTGCAATCATAGACCACTAAGCTTTCCTAAACATCCTGATCTGCAAGCAAAAGGAGAGTGGTCTTCCTTTTCTTTTCAGAATTGTTTAAGGTCCCCGATTGAATTAATTTGGTCATAACCTTCATAAGTCACATCTGCATTTCCATAAAAGTCCATGAAGTTTCCTTGTCCGGAATAAGGTGACATGCAGCCAATTCGACTGAGATCATCAGCAAATTCAATTTCCACATTAAAATTTGAGTATGATGAACTGGGTGAAATTTCTGTATGTTCAAACATAGTACTTGGTAAGTCATACTGTGGAAAGAATCCAACACCATCTTGAATTTGACAGTATTCCTGCAGCTAGAGGAGGAAAAATGTCATAAACATCTAGTCATTCAATCTCAAGTTTCCTTCTCTATTCCTACAAAACACACAATACCTTTGAAGAATCAAGAATCATATCAGGGGAGACCCAGATGTTGGAAGGATTGGTGTCCAAGGAAGCTTGCACTGGAGCCACATTGTAAGGAGAATCAATAGGGCTTGAATAACGACTCTCGCTGCACAGTTGACTAACCTGAGAGGAAATGTCACCAGAGATAATGGAAAGCTGGTCGGAGAATCTCATTGAGTTGTCATTCCCATTGGTGGAGTTGCCCTCACCCTTTCCTTTACCCTTTTGTTCTCCTTGGGAATCATTGGCCTTCTCATTCTTTTTAATAACTCGGCACAAAGCAAAAGCACCCTACAACAGTGACCACAAGAACCTTAAAGCTCTAAGGCCAATCAAATTCAAAGCTAACACATAAATAATAACTAGAATAAAAAACTTAACCTGTGAGCCTTGGCCAATATCATCACATAGGCGATACTCATGCATGACCCAATCCGTTCGATCTCCTAAGGGGGCCCTTCCACGATAGAAAACAAGGGTCTTGCGGAAACCTGTCACAGTGGATGTGGTGGATATGTGTGGACAAGAATGGCATACAACCTTTCTGTCTTTTCCAGTGGCTTTCCAGTACCCAGCTTTGGTAGCTCTATTTGTCCGTGATCCATTTGGGTACTTGCGATCCCGTGGACAGAAGAAAAACCATTCCAAATCTCTTTTTGGTAGGAACGATTTCTCTGCATTCCACACACATCACAAAATATTATTAGCCTTCTCAATTTTCCTTACCATAAAAAAAAAAAATGCAGTCACACACCAAAAAACAAAAAAAACATTGCTTTTTCCAACCTTGACTCAAGTAACCCCATTGAACCGGCTTTTTCAGTGGAAAAAGATTAATCACTAAAGTAAAGTGTAAAGGAAACGAACAAAACACTGCTTTCTACTTTCTAGCATTCATAAAGTCTCAGTTCACACTAGTATGAAAGATTATCTTTTACTTTTTTTATTAGTACACATATTACTGTGCAAATGATCAACATGTGAAATTGAAGATTACCCGGCAACTCCCAGGGATCAAATTTGTACAAATCAATCACGGGGATAACTTCAAGCTCAATTTCAAGCCCCTCCACTTTTCTTTTTAGGTAATATCCTAGCAGTTCTTCATCAGTTGGATGGAAACGAAAACCCGGAGGCAGTGATGCCCCTCCCATTTTAAATTTATGTGTTCCTTACTTATATCAGCAAAAATAGAGAAAAATTGAAACTTAGAAACAAAGCTATAGGAAGCTCTAGTCTCTTCCAATCCAAGTTTAACACAACACAAAAATATACCCAAAAATTTCCCCCAACAAAGCCAAGAGCTTTATAGTGAAAAATTGAAAAAGAAAAAAAAAAAAGGTTGCAGTTTCCAGGATGTTTTGGAATGATATAGTGAGAACTTGTGCTAAGTACCGAAACTATACCTATTAAAAACCTGAAAGATCCAAAAATAGAAGCTTTTGTCTACAATATATTTTTTATCAAGAGTCAGATGACACTTCAACAGAGTGCATCCTTTATGTGCCAAAATCATCGTCTTAAAGAAATTCAAGGTCTCTTATGAAGCTATCTCACCCCCACCCCTTCAACCACAATATTTAATCCCTGGAACAGAATAGAATGAACGAAACTGAGGAATACCACTGTAATCAACTACTAACTTTTGACTCCAAGAAAAAATGAGAAGAGCTCTGAAAACTTGATTAGAAAGATTTTCTAAAAGTGGAAGCTTTTCAAAGCCCACAATTTGAAATAAACCAAATTGAATAATGGGGTAGTTACTATGTTTAGAGAGACTAAAAGAAAACAAACTTCTACCCAAAAAAAGAAAAAAAAAACTGGTGATGGATCAGTGAATTGAGAGAGATGAAGAAGAAAAGAGAGAGTAGAGTAAAAGAAGAAGCAACTACTTGTGTGCTATATATAGCATTTGAGAAGGGAACCAACAGTCCAAAAATTACACACACCGAAAGTTTGAGATTGCTTGTCCCTAGTGCACCCAAAATTCCAAAGCAAATGGCCCACCATTTCAAACCTGTTCAGTGTTCACACCTACAAAGTTAAAATTCAATTCCCGCGGTTCAAATTATTCGTGACAATTATTTGATATCTTTCCTGCGTTTTTGTTGGTTCTTTCCAAGATGCAAGAGCCGCTTCCTCTGCATCCGAGTTGAACAATGGATTCAACAACTCAGAACTGATTTAGCTCCCCCAAATTGTTTGCAAAAGCAGAGCAGTGTACCTCCAATTTCATCAAAGTGCATTTCAATTTTCAAACCTATCTTGACCCGTGAGCCTTCAAACTAATAATACAAATGTTACAAGTACAATATTATTCTCCATGAGCCTTAAATATTCTCTTGCAAGCCTTTCTCACTCTCATGTTGGAAATCCACACACACAAATCAAAAAAGAAAAAGAAAAAGGAAAGATTGAAATCGGCACGGTAATTTATTCAGGTTCATCCAACGTAGACTATGTCCATGTGTTATATTCACCTCACCGTCACTAGTTACAAGAGTGGGATCCCAGTTGGCTTTTCCCCGCCAACAAGAGTCATCATTAGTACACGAAGTATAAGTGTTCTTGTTTTTTTACTCGTGTTTGACCATTTTCTCTAGTAAAATGAGTAGAAAGAAGTCACGTTAGTTATATTTGGCCACCTTAACTTTATTTGTGCCTGATAAGAGTAAATACGGGGTGAATAGTAATATATTACTCGTATGGAATGCTGTAATTTGAGTAAAGCCATGGAACCACTTTATTTCCAAATTAGAACTCCACATTTCAGTCATTTTTGGTTCCACAAAGTGATCGAAGTGTGGTCCATCCAAGTTTATAAAACACATTTTTTCTTCTAATCTTTCTAATGTGAAACTTGTAACCTCTTAGATCACACACGTGTTTTCCAACAAAGCTCTCAAATTGCAGCTGCCATGATGGCTCCATCTACGTTGCCAACCACAGCACCAATACTGCAAGACTCATCATTCCTAACGTAAGCATTAGTATTTAAGTTCAAGAGAAATTCTTAGTGCTATGACATAGCAAAGCATTTTTCATTCCCATTGAATATGTACCATATCATTTATGTGAATTATTACTGTCTCAGACTTTGTTTAACTATATAATTTTTAGCTATATAATTAAGATGATACATATTGTACAAAGCGAGTTTTCTCACAAAACACCAAAAAAATTGGCTAATTTGTAAACACTAGGAGGAGGGAGAACAATTAATTAGGGAATATGGGGTTCCTTGAAGCTGCCATTACCCTCAAGTCTATTCCATGTCATCCTGAGTCGGATTGAACACTTTAGGCTTTTTTAATTCAAGTGATTGTGTCATCAGGCGGGTCCAACCCTTCCAAAAGGAAAATCTCGAAAAGTGTTTCACGAGTTTTTTAACTTTCAGAGGTTCGTTTCTTCTTATCAATTCACATTTAGATGTTAAAAGCAGTCAAGCTCCCTCTAAACTCCTATTAGTGGGACCAACCAAGGACTGGTTGCTGCAAAAAATTAAATACTATGTAAATAGTGGATTATCTTGCGTTTGTACGAGCAAAAATAGCAAAAGGTAAAACTAAAGCTTGCTTTAACACCTGGTTGGGTTAATTTACTATTTGCTTTTGTAAAGAATCTTGGGATACACCATCCCAAAAGCTAGTTCAAAGAGTGGGAGTGTTCAAGGCCTTATAAACTCCACATTAGTTGCACATACAATCAATGTAAGATTATATATCTCAACACGCCCCCTCACACAAGAGCCCATTGGGCTTGAAGAGTGGACAATGCAACAGGCCCAGCCTACCTGTGCTAAGAAACGCCACAAGAGAAAGCGGGAGACGGCGAGACTTTGATACCATGTAAAGAACCTTGGGATACACCACCCCAAAAGCCAGCTCAAAGGGTGAGAGTGTCCAAGGCCTTATAAACTCCACATTAGTTGCACATACAACTAATGTGGGACTATATATCTCAAGAGTTTTATATGAAATACTTACTCCTTAATTATGAATCTAACCACTACTCCTCTCTGGAATTTTGGAAAAGATAACGAGTATTGTTTGAGGTTTGTAAAAGGTATAAAATGAGCTTTCCTTCGTATAATCATATATATATATATATATATATATATATATATATAAGGTTTTGATTTTCTCATGTTGCATGAGAATTCAATTCTCATGTTGTGACTCAACTAGTGGTGGGTCCCACATTTATTAAAAAAAAAAAAAGCTTTGCACGCAAATCGAAGGGTCACAACATGAGAATTGAATTCTCATGCAACATGAGAAAATGTTTTCCCATATATATATATATATATATATATATAGGGCTTCATTTACGATGTAAGATGAGAGTTAATTTTGAGAATGAGAATATTTTTGCCATTTTTTTCCCTAACCATGCAAGGTATTTATTTATTTTTGGTGGGATCTATCTAGCAATCAATTTTTGCCATTTTTTTTCCTAACCATGTAAGGTATTTTTATTTTTTTTTGGTGGGATCTATCTAGCAATCAATCTTTTGAGTCCTGCAATTGAATGATCCTTAGCTGATAACTATTTAAAAAAAAAAAAAAAAAGACACTTCAAAAGCTATGTAGGATAGGAAGCATACGATTTACCATATAAAATTGTAGTGACGCAATCTCTCATTAAAGTGATGTATCATGCTTAGTCATCCATTACTAAGGCTAACTGTAATGAAGCATTTGCTTTTTTACACTTATTAGCAAAGAAAGTAAAGGCACAAGAGCAAAAGCTTTTGCTTTTTCAATAGCGGGACATGAAAGAAAGCAGAACGACCCTGCCACCAAGGGGAGAATACGAGTTATTTTCTCATTATTGAGCTTCTAAGTTCTTGTTTTCGTTTGAACATATTGGTCGATTTTCCCCCGCTTGTGTGGCTTAGAAGTTAAATTAGACAAAGCAGCAATTGGCATTGAAACCCTTGCCACTTTTTAAGATGTGAAAAAGGCAAAAGAAGCACAATAATTAAGTGTTCCTTTTGCCTAGTTTCTATTTTGAATTTGATGTCATTCTTATTTTAGCTTTCTTGTACTTCTAGTTTATTAACCCATCGGAGTCTTGTAACATCCCCGTCTCGAGCCGGTTCAATTAACATACATATGATACAAACAGAAACAGCGGAAGACTTAACTTACAAAAATATGAGCTAACTTTTTCTTTTTCTAACTTAATTCTTACTCGGCGTAAACGAAAATCGGGCAGAGTTTCCTCTATAAATCGGACAACTGGGGATTTTCCAATCCCACTCAGAAGCATTTCCTGATAAACAGTTTATACAACATATCAATTCAGAAATGCCAGATATCCAAATATAATCAAATACCCATACATGGGCGCATGCATAACATGGCTCCGTGCCACTAAATCTAACAGCATGCCATCAAAACATAAACCTATCTGAATACTACATCATCATATAACGTTCCTGAATACTCAAATGTACATGCATCAAACTGATAGACATGTACAAAACATATACAGGCCATATACAAAATAAAGGATCAATATCATGATCCATCAAATGCGAAAATACTAAAATACATCAAACACTCCAAAAAGGTAGTAGCCTACAGCCACTCAAAATCCGGTCTGTCAACTGCCTCAGCCACGTGTCGTGTCCCTGCCTAGTGAGGACTCACCGGAAATCTGGGCCCCTGAAAATGTGTCCCCAAAGAGGGGTGAGATTACAAATCTCAATAAGCTCCAGGTTTATAGAGAATTCTCCATACCCCTGGCTCACTCCTGCATGAAATTCAGATACAGAGTATACAAATACAACATATAACAGATATCATAACAGAACAGAGCATATATCCATATCATATCAGGGATGTGCGCCGTCATTCCCAAGGGAGGACCCCAAGCGGAAATCAACGCACGTGTTCCCGAGGGAGGACCCCAAAGCGGAACCAGACATATCAGAGGAGTACACCATCAGTCCCGAGGGAGGACCCCAAAGCGGACGTCCGGGTACTATACAATCAATGGCCAGAGATTGTTACCGAAATCATATTACAGAAGTCATATCAGAGCAAAACATATCATGTTATCAAATAACTCTATATGAATGCATCTATACAAAGCATCTAAATCACAGTCATACAGTCCAACCATAGTTCACTAACCATGGTGGAGCACTCAAGCAGGAAAAGACTCCTTAAACATAGAGCTTACCTCTTGAAGCTTTACCAATACCCTTACTTGTTGCACAAGTTACTTATATATCTTCAAGAGATTCTGATTCCTTTTTAGTCCCTAGGTACACCTAGAGCAAGAATCCACAAATACCAATTAATAAAATGCCATCATGCCTAGCTTTCACATAAGGCACACATTTTATCGCTTCTTTTCATTTCTTTGCATTTTTGCCAATCCTATGCCAATACACAAGTCTAGACCTCTTTATAACCGTTGGTGTTCTTTAATTTAATCATCCATTCCCTTACGAATTTCCAACATAAATCATAACATTTTACTTTAAAGGACCGTGAGCCTAAAATTAGGAAATCAATATATTTTTCCATGATTTCTTTTCAAACCATTTCACTTCATGCCTTATCATTTTCATACTTTGAAACACACATATTTTATTAAAATAAAATATGACAACATCTTTCCCTAAACACCCTATATGTCGAATCCTTTAAGGGAATTTCCAAGGATCATTCTCTTTTACAATACATTTTCCTCACTTAATTTAACAACTACACGTACATAAATATATATATATATACCAAGTTCCAATTTAATTTTTGGGAAATCTCAAGCTCTTTAAATCCTTCAAGGACGAAACATCAAGGGTATGTTTCAAAG